GTGTCTGACCAGGCATTGCGATGCATTCAGTCTCAGGTTCTTCATAAAGCAGGAAAGAGAGTCCCTCCTGCCTTAGAAATGAGGAGTCAGACCAAACTGGTTGGTGGCATGGCTGGCAGGTTGCAGTTAGGGCCAGGACCCACAGCTCTGGTTCTTTGGCTCCTCCGTTCCCCATGGGTTCCCCTTTGCCCATCAACTCCTGTGCTTCTGTGTGACCCAGCGCGGGGCCTTCTTTCTGCCTCCCTCCCCTGCTTGCTTGTGCGGCCGCATCTGCATGCCTGGCGGTGGTCAGGAGTACTCTGGAGATCCCTCTTTTTTTTTTTTTTGAGATTGATTCTTGCACTATCACCCCAGCAGCAGCGCAGTAGCACGATCTCTTCTCTGGGGTTCAAGTAATTCTCCTGCCTCAGCCTCCCGAGTAGCTGGGACTACAGGCGTGTGCCACCATGCCCAGCTTTTTTTTTTATTATTATTGTTTAGTAGAGACGGGCTTTCACCACGTTGGCCAGGATGGTCTCAATCTCCTGACCTCGTGATCCGTCCGCCTTGGCCTCCCAAAGTGCAGGGATTACAGGCATGAACCACCGTGCCTGGCCAAGATCCCTCTTACTTGTCCCTGGCAAACTCCCCTTTGACCACAGCTCCAACCGTCTGGCTTTGTCTTGAGTCCTGGTGCTGGGGCTGGATTTGGAGTTTGGACTTGATAGGCAGAGACTACCTTTCTCAGCGGACTTCAGCTTGGCAGCGCCCGGCTCTCAACCCTGCGCTCCTCGGGCAGGTGTGTGCCTCTCCACCTCCTGGTCTCCATTCCCATCACAAGGCTGCGTCCTCCTAGATTGGGTGGGCTGATTCTGACACCTGGTGTTCAGTTAGCAAGGATTTGTTAAGGAAAAGCTCAACAGCCACAATTATCAGGACTTGTGTATCCTCATTTTGCGGTTTTTCAGTTGACTAATGAGACCTGTGATTTTACGTTCTTCATGTTATCTGGCTGTCAAATGGAATCATGCCATTCATTAACTATAGTGAGATAGTATATATGCGTATTATGATGTTGACATTCCTCAAAAGAAAGCTGCTGTAAAAGTCCAGCTACCAAAAATAGTGAGACACTTTCCAGGTTATTACCAAATTTCAAACACAGGAATTTCAACAGCAACGAAATGGAACTACATTTTAATGCCAGGCAGCTCTGTGTAAAGGTGTTTTCTGTTTCAGGAAATGTAGCCTTAATATTAAGAGTAGTTTTTGTAAAAGAACAAACCGGGGTTTCGTTTTTCAAAATATGTTTTATTTGGGTAGTTTAGTGAGAAATGGCAAAAGGTTATTAGCAAGTAACTAAGGAAGAGAAACCAACAAGTAGGCAGCCGTGAAGTTAGGGAATATCCCAGAAAAATGCCAGAGGAAGAGTAGGATGGAAATGGTGCGCGTCACTGGGGAGGGCCCCAGAGGAGCGTGTCCTTGCCAGTCCCCTGTGAGCACTGACGTCACAGGCATCTACCCTGCTTAGTTGCCCCCGGCCTAAAGGGGACATGTGTGATCATGCCATGGTAGTCTTTCGTAAATCCTTTCATTCTGAGAAGAGTGATTTTAAAAAATACTTTCTATTTAACTTTATTATCTGAATATGAAAAAACAGTTCAAAAGTCAAACTGTGTAAAAAGATACGCTCAGAAGAATCTTGCTCTTGCCCCTGTCTCTTCCACTCCATCCATCCTCCACAGGGAAGCATTTTCACTGGTTTTTACAGAGACAGATCTCTAAATCTAAAACATTTTATTTAGGAAGTAAGCATTGCAGTCTGGGCCATACACACTGACTGGGTGGTTTCAGTATGTCTGAAGAACAAAGAGAAGTTTGGAAGTCTTATAAAAAAGGAGAAATGTCAGGGATTTTTTTTTTTTTTTTTTTTTTTTTTGAGACTGAGTCTCGCTCTGTCACCCAGGCTGGAGTGCAGTGGCGCCATCTTGGCTCACTGCAACCTCTGCCTCCCAGGTACAAGCGATTCTTCTGCCTCAGCCTCCTGAGTAGCTGGGACTACAGGCACGTGCCACCATGCTCGGCTAATTTTTTATATTTTTAGTAGAGATAGGGTTTCACCATGTTAGCCAGGATGGTCTCGATCTCTTGACCTCGTGACCTGCTCTCTTCCGCCTCTCGAAGTGCTGGGATTACAGGCGTGGGCCACCGCGCCTGTGGGGTGGTTTTGAGAGTTGTTTTTTGGCACTAGTGAAGTTTTGGGGAGCTGGGAAGCTCTCATTGGTGAGGGATAGGGCTGGGTAAGCTAGTCTGAGAGTCATGGCAGGCAGTTTTGGCAGCTAGGCTTGCCCAGAATGACTTCTTGGAGCAGTGCTATGTGCTCTGAGTGCTTTGTCCCTCTGGCCTTGGCTCTGTTAGTTGGGTAGGACAAGAATGACCCTTATGATCAATTTTCACACACTCTAGTATGTGAAAAATAATCCTTTCTGTGATTGTTTTTAAATTTATTGGTATATAATAATTGTTCATATTTATGGGATGGATGTGATGTTTTGATGTGTGCACCCTAGGATTCTTTTTGTATAAAGCAGGCCAAATACACACGTTTCCTTTGGCGCCGAGGATGGCGTACTGAACGTATGTTTTTGTTTCTGCATATGCGTTTTCACTAACACCGTATCTTGGGGATCATCTCACACCAGCTCTCAGAGGCCTTTGTTCTTTCTTGCTAGAGGTGGGCAGAGTAAGTTTCTCAGGGGAGCTCTGGTGAGTCCGGAAGATACTGTACCACGGACTGTCAATTTTGCTACCGCAAAGAAGCTATGGGACCTGGAAGAAGACTCTCGCCTTAATTTGTAAAGTGGCATTCCTCATACTCCTATACCCCAGAGACAATGTGCATTCAGAAATGTGGCATTATTTTGTCTGATTGGAAGAAAAAGTTTTTTCTGAAACGCATTGCATTAGTGATGGAGATGTGGTATTAGAGTATCAAGTGACTGCTTCAGATCCGGAAACCTTTAACCAAGAGGAATTGCAGAAAAGGCTGCTGTGGAGGCCAGAGCCACTCCTTATTTCCACTGCCAGCCCGTGCGCCCGGCTCTTGCCTCGTGGCTGTGGCATGTCTCTGCCGAGCAGCCTTGGAGCACTGAGGCCACAGGCAGGAAGGGGGCTGTGGGCTTGCGTTCTGCTGTTCCCTGGCCTCACTTCTTGATCGTGTGGAACTTAAGTGTCAGGTTCCAGGAACGTTTGCCCGTCAATGGTGGTGATGGAGAATAAGAAAGACTCGTTTAAAGTGACACATGGAAGGCAGACCTGGTTTCTCCGTTGATCACAGAAGACTCTAGTGAAATGAATTGTAATTTGGGGCAGAGACCTGAAATTTCTCTTCCTTGCCAAAATAAATTGATTTCGTCAGCTGTCTGAGCTTCATTTCTTAAACTGGACAGGAGCTAACCTAGTCTAAATTAAACTCATTTTCCATTAATAAAACTAGGTCACTCCAGGCTGCCTGAGTATGCCTCTGAGTATCTCAAAGCACATTCTCCAAAATCCAGGCGTTCCTGCCATTTTCGTAACCCATCACATGTCGCCAGCCTGATGTTGGCTCTCACCTCTCCTGTGGCATGCCGCTGTAGATGTAGGGCCTGTGTCTAACTCCTTTCCAGCTGCAGGCCAATTGTGGCAGGAGGGCATTGCTGTACAGCTGCTGGGGCTGCGGACAGGCTAAGAGGAAGCTGACCTAGCCATTCTCCCGCTGGAGGACAGGCTTTGGGCAGGACGGCCCTGCCTCGCCCAAGTAAAGCATTGTTTTGCTGTTCCTTTGCCAGTATTCCTGCTGCTTCCCAGCAGGAAGCACCATAAGGTTTTGAAGATTTTATTTACACATGGGGGCCGATAAACTAGATCATGCAGGTAGGAAGTTATGAATTTAAAACAAAAATGACAGCACAAATGGAATAATTTTAGAAAAGCCTTGTTCAGCTAGGCAGAACATCTCTGCATGGAGAGCTCCCTGAGCAGTGGGGACGCTGGCCTGCCTCACTTGCTGGAGGTTTGTAGGAGCCTCCAGGTGGCATCTGGCCCCTGCTCCAAGGCCTGTGCACACTCCCCTGCCCTGCCGTTCCTGTGGATGTCTGGAGCTGGTCTTACCTGGAAAGCCCAGGAGAGGCTCCCATTGTCTTTCCTTGTTCCTCCTTTGTCTTCCTGCACATGAGAGAGGGCCGCGAGTGAACCGTGACTTGCAGCATCTGGCAGACATAGGTCGGAATGTGGGTTTAGCATATTCTGAAATAACGCAGATCTAGAAATGCTAAAGCTATTGGAGATGTCTTTCTAAAACGGAAATTGAGGGGCAGTGGAAGTCTTTGCAGTGCCTTATTTCTAGCATTCTTGTGTAATCTGAAGTATCATACCAAGTACATTTTAAACAGTAGATTGTCTTTAATTTACCTTTTCATTAAAATGCTCATATCTCTCATGAAAGGTTACCAAAAAAAAAAATAGGAAAATAGATGTTTTAAAGAAATAGAAAGTTGGCCGGGCGTGGTGGCTCACGCCTGCAATCCCAACACTTTGGGAGGCCAAGGTGGACCTATCACGAGGTCAGGAGATTGAGACCATCCTGGCCAACATGGTGAAGCCCCATCGCTACTAAAAATACAAAAATTAGCTGGGCGTGGTGGTGTGTGCCTGTAATCCCAGCTACTCAGGAGGCTGAGGCAGGAGAATCGCTTGAACTAGGGAGTTGGAGGTTTCAGTGAGCCGAGATCTCACCACTGTACTCCAGCCTGGCACAGAGGGAGGCTCTGTCTCAAGCCTCAAAAAAAAAAAAAAAAAAAAAAAAAGAAATAGTCGTGAGAAAGGGGAGGGCTCTCACGTAATACATTGTCTGCCCTGATATCCAGCTTTCCGTGGGTTAAGCTGTGTCCTCTCACGTTTCTTTGCTGCCTTTGTGAGACCTTCTCAACAAGATGGAGATTCCTGAGTGCTAACAAAGTTTTTCTTGCTTCTATTTGCAGTGCACAGAAGCCAAAAAGCATTGCTGGTATTTTGAAGGACTCTATCCAACCTATTATATGTAAGTATTTGCACTTTTCTGTGGTTTCATTCTGTGGCAGTACCTTTCTCTGGGAATTGTCTTGCTAAAGGTCTGGGTGTGGGAAAGGGAAAGCCCGGCGTGGCCCAGCCTCTACTGTGGTGCCAGGCCTGCCTCGCTGGGGGATGAGCAGGCGACCTCACCCTGGTATCCTGCCCACTCAGACCAGTTACGCTGAGGACGACCTGAAATCCTGTGCCCTGTTCTGTGATGCAGGTGAGCTCACATGTGAGGGGAAAATGGGGGTGACATGTCTGTGGAAGACAAACGTTATGTTGGCTTGTGCACATTTTCCTAGGCAAAGAAAGCAAGGATCGTAGGAGTAGACTTAGGACCTCAGTGGAGCCACTGTGATGGTGTGTGTGTGTGCGTGTCTGTGACTGTGATGGGGTGTGTGTGTGTGTGTGTGTGTGTGTGTCTGTGCACATGTGTAGGAAGTCACAATGATCGCCTGTCTCTTGAGGCTTCCTCCCCAGAGAGCTGCCGTCACAGCCTCTCAGCTCAGAGCAGGTTATACACCTTCCGGGCCCCCCTCACTGTCTGCCAGTCTTGCTGTAATGAGGGCATGGCTGCATTTTCTCCCTGTGGTTTTCGTGTGTTTGTAATATCTGCCGTGGTAGCCACCAGCCCTGTGGAGCCACCTACCTCAGTGGCTACATCAACTCTCCAGGTTATCAGTTCCTGTTTTTGATTCTGTTTTGAAGTTCCTTAGGTATTGAGTGGAATGCCCTAACCAAAATTTCCCAAAAACTTGATTATTCTTAGTATTGAATTTTGTAAAACCTGAGATTCTTCAGGCATATAATTGTAGTCTAGCAGAAACACTGTATATTCTAGCTTATAGGGTAATTGGGTAGGAGACGTATAATAACAGCAGAAAGGGCTATTTTTTAATCTGTCAGAACATACCTTTTTCTTACCTGTCATTATTATTTTTTTCTTTTCCGAGATGGACTCTTACTCTGTCACCAGGCGAGAGTGTAGTGGGGCAATCTCACTGCAGCCCCCGCCTCTGGGTTCAATCGATTCTCATGTCTCAGACTCCCAAGTAGCTGAGAATGCAGGCATGTACCACCACGCCCAGCTAATTTTTGTATTTTCAGTAGAAACGGGGTTTCTCCATGTTGGCCAGGCTGGTCTCGACTCCTGACCTCAAGCGATCCGCCTGCCTTGGCCTCCCAAAGTGCTGGGATTAGAGGTGTGAGCCACCTTGCCCAGCCTCTTCCTTGTCATTCCTGAGGAGCCCAGTGTAGGAGGGGAAGGTTGCCCATCTGTCAGTGGGGGTGGGGCACGGAGCAGCTGGCCATGTTCCTCGTCTTGGTTTTATACTGACAAGCAGGAGTCAATATGCCCCATGGCGTGGAGGCCCTGGCAGGAAGCCTCTGCAGCTGCAGAAAGACAGACCCTACTTGGAAAATAAAGCAGCAGTGTAAAGACTGGGGCCCTAATTACGGAGTTGTCAGATTGAAGAGAAATGGTAATGGGATAACAGGAAGAGAAAATATTTTGGGCCTTCTCGGCATGATGAATTTTCATCAGTACACTTTATTTCCTTGTTCAGCCTCTTGTGCAAATGTGGACCTTGGGCCTCCTGTGTGCACTGCCTTGAAAACCTATTTCTCCAGTTGTTTTATAGATGAGCTTTGTCAGCTTGCGCGTCAGAGGTCACTGCTGTTCTTGTATTGACTTGTTCATTTGTTCTTTATTAATTCACTTGTTCCCTGCATATTGTGAAAGTATTTTACATTGAGCTGGAACCAGGGAACACAGAGACAAGCCCTGCTTTTGTCACTCAGGCCTGTGGCTTGGTTTTCTTTCCTGCTTTTCTCTTCCAATGGTGGGGAGAAGGATCCAGAGCACCTTAGGTGCGCTGTCCAGAAAAATGGAAAAGCCAAGTGACTGTTAGAACACGAAGCTCAGCATGGGAATAACAGCAGGTAACAGTTACTAAGCGCCTACTCCAGGCCCAGCGTTGTCCTGTTCCCCGTACGTGAATTGAGGTCTTCTGACTTCATGGTGCCAGAAAACGCCACCACACCCACTGGTCTTCTCGGTTCTGACTCTGGTCTTTCTGTTTCTCCCCCCGGTTCCTAGTGCCCTCACTCACATTCAGATCTGTGAATGCCCCTCTGAACCACTGCAGAAACTTTCTAACTGGTCTCCTTTCAGCCTCTGCTCCCATCCAGTTCTCACTTCTTTCTAAATTTTCATGTACTTTTTTGCTTAAAACCATCAGGAACAAGGTCCTTTTAACAGTAGAGTTACAAGAGAGTGTCTGGCTTTATCTTCCTTCTCTATTGTGAGTCTCATGAGGGCAACAAGTTATAAATACTTGACTCCCCAGCAAGGCATAGGATAGTGCCCGACGCAGCGGCCATCCTCGATGGTGAGCGGATGCATTTCCTTGCAGTTCCCACCGTTTGGTCAGCAGCGCTGACCCACGCAGGGGACCTTTGGTTGTTTCCCAGTTCTCTGAGCTTCTTCTGACGCAGTTCCCCTGTCCCCATAAGAGTTTGTTCCTCCCTCCCTGTTTTGGCTCTGAGAGAGTGCTGACAACACCAGTGAATTGCGCCAGGTGGCGAGTGCTTCGGGATGGGACCGTGGGCTCTGCATTCTGTGACCCTGCCGCCTGGCCCAGTGCATGGCACCTGGTGTTTGTCATCATGTTCGTGCAGAGTTCACATGTTTGCCATTACTTTTTTATTTAATTGGGGTGAAATTCAGAGAAAAGAATTAACCGTTTTAAAGTGACCCATGCAGTAGCATGGAGCACATTCCCCACGTGGTGCGGTCCCCACCTCTGTATAGCAGCAGCCTTCCCATCCCTCCACTCTGTTATTGGCACTGCGATCTTGGCAGCTGCTTCCTCTGTAAAACCTGCTGGGTTTGAGGCACGGGGCATGTACATGGCCAGTGCAGAAGTTGTAAGAACAGAACAAACCCAAGGCCAGCTCACCTCTCTCACGTATGCTCATGAGATTAGTGCTACAGACTCAGTGTGCCACTTCCCCGCACATGCGAGGGACGGCAGTGTCCTGATACAGCAGTGAACCCAGTGTGGTACCAAGGAGAAAGGGCAGCTAGCACACGTGTGGTGGCTTGTCCAGTGCCCTAACCGGTCCAGAGATTTAACACTCAAAAGCTGTCTTCTCCAAAGCTGTTTTCTCCACTGTCCATCAGGTTGGGGTCATGAAGCATTTTTCTTCAAGGAGAATAAGTAGAAATTGCTTAGCTGTATTCTACTCCATCCAAGCATATCTTGCTCCAGGAGAGGTCTGCTGCAGGCAAAAGACGGTAGCAGCACCCCCACTGGAATTGCTTAGCCTGTAGGAGGCACAGCTGCCCTAGAGTTAACCTTGAGGGTACGTTATTGTTGATCGCTGGAGCCCGCTGTGGTTTCTGCCACCTTGGTGCAGAAGGCAATGCAGGTACAGGAGACTCGTATCCAGCCCAGGCTCGCCCTTCTTCCGGAGGCCTGGGCGGGATGCAGTGGAGGCTGGCGAGCTGCCATTGCATACCACAGCTGGCCTGGCCTCTGGACACATGGCCAGTGTGCAGGGTGTTGTCCTGGGGATGGTGACGGCTGCACCTCATTCATTCCAGACGCAGGTATCTGTGGAGGGCCACCACGTGTCAGGTGTTGTGCGTTGCGGTGTGCAGGACAGGGAGGGTACCTGTGCCTCAGGCAGCAGTGGTACAGTCATGTGGGAGACTGACTGGTCATTTCTGAAACATGTTTAACATTACATTTAAAAAAACCTTAAAATTGGCCGAGTGCAGTGGCTCATGCCTGTAATCCACCCTTTTGGGAGGCTGAGGTGGGCAGATCTCCTGAGCTCATGAGTTTGAGACCACTGTGGGCAACATATTGAAACCCCATCTCTACTAAAATATACACACAAAAGATCAGCTGGGCATAGTGGCGCGAGCCTGTAGTCCCAGCTACTCGGGAGGCTGAAGCATGAGAATTGCTTGAGGCCCAGAGGCGGATGTTGCAGTGAACCAAGATCGTGCCACTGCACCCCAGCTTGGGCTACAGAGTGAAACTCCATCTCAAAAAAATCTTAAATTATAGCAGATGTCATGTAAAATGTACATATATTCTACGTTTAATTTCATCTGAGTAAAGTGCTTTATCTAAGATTCTCCAAGATAGATTATTCCTTACAAATACGTTGACTCAGGGTGGCGTCCTGTTTTGTTAGAGGTGTTTTTTTTTCTTTCCCCTGTGGAAAATATATTTCAAATAACACCTCTGTTTTGTGAGTGTAACTCATCATGCGGAGTGCATTGGGGAGGGAACACCTAGGTTGCAAACTTGTTTTAGAGATTTTACTTCTATATTTGATAATCCGATTTCATTCTATCTCGCCGGAAATCCCAGATGGCAGCCACCTTCTCCCCACTCTGCCTGTCCCTGCATTTCATTCCCATGCCAGTTAGTAAGCTAACAGAGACTGATCTCTTTTAATGAAATGTAGGTTTTCCGCTGTTGCTACCTAGACATTCAAAATTATTCTCACCTGTTCCGATTTCTTTGTGCTAAATGATCTCTCTTTCTACCCTATCCCTGCATCAAGGTTTGTTTCATTTCCTTAATTTGCTATTTTTCCATTGTTGGTATGGGAGACTGTGTATTACATGTATAAACAAGATATTCTCCTTTTTGAAGAAAAAGACCCTTTGGGATCTGAACAGAAAAGCAATATATTCCCGTTCCCTCCAATAATGTTTCTTTTTCCCTTCCACTTTCCTTCACTACCTGCCTTTCTTGTTGCAAGCTGCCCTTCCAAGAGCTCTGAATTAAAATGTGCCTCTCTGTGCTTTGGGTCAGGGCTTACTAGGTGTCTCCTGTTAGCAGCATGTGGTTTCAAAATAGCAGGTGTCTGTGTGGCCCCAGCAGTTCCCGGCCCGTGGCTTGCATTCTCCCCTCGAGTCACACTTCTGCCCAGGCCTTGCTCCCTCAGCTCCTTTGGCAGCGT